ACGTAGCCGTAGTAGCCTACGTAGCCGAAATAGCCTAAGTGGGCCGGGTTACCCTAATTTGGAGTAGCCGTAGTCACATGCCACGTGACTTCCCCGGATAACATTTCCTCCCCACTTATGGGTGAGTTCCACGAACTTTCGTTACCCCCATTTACTAACCGTCGTATATCCTCGGTATTCAATAGGTGAATGTCCCTAAATTTTATTCTTTGAGTGCAGTAGATTTGTTCGAGCTCATATTTACTGAAGATATCGTAAACTCGCATGGAGGTCAGATAATAATAGTTTGTTGTAAGCTTCTTTAGGTGGGTTACTTGATCAGGGGTCATGTTTGCATAAACCATTCCTAAATAATAACCATAGGTGAGTACGTGAATTCTGTTCCTAAGTTGGTTAGCCTTTTTCAGTTGGACAAATGCAAGAGTTACGCAAGTCGCTAAGTCATCAGTAGTGGTATAAGGTGGGGTTACAGGATCTGTGGCTGGGCCTAAGGTGATGAGATCATCAAGTATTTCTGTATAACTGACCGACATTCTGTCTATTTCTTTCTAATTACTTTTGATCTGCTTTTTATCATTGTTTTTTTTTTTTTTTTTTTTTTTTTGTTTCTTTTAGTAGTGGCTTCTAACTTTGGACTTAATTCTATTTTTAATCACTAGTTTAGTGGCTTATTTTTGTGGACATCGTCTTATCAACAACATCTCCAAGACAGTAACGGTTGTGAACTTTGTGGAGTTCTTCTATTGCACGCTCCTGGCTTTCACTTCTCACCCAAGTATACTCTTGATCCGAATCACTAGTTATTTCAACTGTAACTCTTCATACTCTTCTTCTTCATCTGCACTGCCATAATACTCTTCGTCCTCATTTATATCCCACCAATCCCATTCCTCTTCTAAACCCTTGTTATCCATGCTTTCGTTCCAGGGCTCCTCGTATTCATCATATTCCGCAAAATTTAAGAGTCATTCTAGGTCTGTTTGCTCCTCATTTTTTTGTGGGTTTTCTCTCTTCTTCTTAAACCTTTCTGATCCTCATCTCTCTTTCGTAGGTTCTTGTCTCCGGGACAGAGCATCGGCATTATTGTGGACTCTACCAGCCCGATGCTCTATTGTGTAATTATAAGGCTGGAGTCTAATGATCCATCAGGCTCATCTACCATTCAACTTAGTGGTGTATAGCCACTTCAACGCGACATGGTCTGTTACTATAATAAAGGGTTTAAACCCAAAATAATGGTGGTAATATTCGATGGCCCATAACACCGTCAAACACTTTAATTCTGTGGCCGAGTAGTTCCTTTCTGCCTTGGTTAAACTGCGACTGGCATAGGAAACTACATGATCTTTATTTTTTTCTGATTTTTGTGCTAATACAGTTCCTAATCCCATTCCAGATGCATCCGTGTGTAAGAAGAATGTTTTAGCAAAATCTGGATACTGAAGGACAGGCACAGAGGTCAAGTGTTCTTTTAGTTTGTTGAATGCTACTTGTTGATCCTTTTTCCACTTATAGCTAACATCCTTCTTTAGTAAATTATGTAGGGGTCGAGCCACGGTGGCAAAATCTTTAATGAAGCGGCGGTAGTAGGATGCTAGTCCTATAAAGGCTCTCAACTGTCTAATCGTCCTTGGAGCTGGATAATCTCTTACTTTTTCTACCTTAGTGCTGTCAGGATGGATACCATTGCAACCAACTACGTGACCGAGGAATTGGATTTCGGGCTTAAAGAAGGTACATTTTTCCATATTAATCTTTAGGTTCGCTCCTTCTAGTTTACTAAATACTTTTCCTAAATGGTCTAGGTGCTCCGCGAAGGTTTGAGAGTATATGTTAATGTCATCAATGTATACTTCTACGAACTTATCAATATACTCTGCCATTACTACGTCCATTAGGCGTTGAAAGGTTGCCGGGGCATTACAAAGCCCAAACGGCATTACTCGGAATTTGTACAACCCATTTCTAGTAATGAATGCAGTTTTTTCCTGATCGACTTTATCCATTCTCAGTTGCCAATAACCGCTTCTTAGATCTATACTAGAGAACCACTTTGCCGTCCTAAACTTTTCGAGGAGGTCGTCTATTCGGGAGAGCGAGTACGCATCTTTCTTTGTAACTGCGTTTAGTTTACGGTAATCGACACACATACGAAGCTTTCCACCCTTTTTAGGGACTATAACGACAGTTGAGACTTAGGGGCTTTTGGATTTTTGTATTAACCCCTGTTCTTTCATAGTTACTAACTCTTTATCTATAAACTCTTGTTCATCTCGAGAGGCCCTATAGAAATGTTGTCTTATAGGTTTGGCATCGGTGGTGTCTATGCGATAGGTCGCTATGCTGGTCTGGCCTAATTTATCTTGACCTTTAAGGAGCTCAACTTTAAGACGGAAGAATTCTTGAGCTTCCTTCTTTTCTTCCTCAGTTAGAATTTTGCTCTGGACTAGTTTATCTAGTTTCTCTGTTTCCGTAAGTACTTCATCTTCTTTTTCTTCTGTAGGTAGCTCTTCTATCGCCGTCAAGTAAATTGCCGGACTAACCTCTTCCTTTCAGGTGTTCTTATAGATTTCCAACTCATCTTCTGACAACTCCACTGTGTAATACCCTTCTGCTTCGTTAAGTTCCTCTTCCTTATAAGTAAACTCGTCAAAAGTGTCACCACTTTCGACATCCCATTTATCATCTTTTTTATCTTGTTTTAGGGGTTCTTTGCCTATATGTGAGATTGGAACTTCGATTCTTCTACCCTGATACTGCAGGATCAGCCATTGCTCATCGAAATGCAATCGTGCCTTGGCCTTTTGGAACCAATCTGTTCCTAACAACAAGGTCTCATCGGAGGACTCTATAACCTGGATAGTACTAGGGATGATGGTATTTTGTATCATGATCTTTAAGTTCATTATTTTTTCTAACACCCTTGTTCTAGCCCCTGTAGCTGTGACGACAACGGTCAAGGACTTTTCTTGGATTTTCAGTTTCAACTTATCTACTAATTTCTTTGTCATTATACTGACAGCGGCACCAGAGTCTAGTATAGCGACAACTGGGTTCCCTTATATTCTGACATAGCAATGGGCTGCCGTGGTATGTTTAGGCTCCTCAAACTTTACATGGCTAGCTGCTTGTACCTGGGGTAATGGCCTCCTTAAAATTTTAGCCAAGTTTCACCTCTGATTTGGATACTGGAGCATCTGGCCTAAGGTTATGTGAGCTGTAGCATTTAGGATATCATCGGCGATGTCGTATGGTGGGAGTTTATCTATAATGGATGGTTCTCGTTTCCTTCTGGCCTTCTTTCTGGCGTAAACACATCCTCCTTCATCACATCCTGGGCTTCTTCTAACATTAATAATTAAGGATCAGTGGGGTTTGGTTTGCTTCTTAGTCGATTTTCCCATTTGGATTCTGGTTGGCCAGATGGCCTTCTTCCATTACTACACACCTCGTAAGATTGGTATCGCTGTTCATTCACAACATAAACTTCCTCCAGGTCTGCCCATAGATCGTCATCACTGTCTGGAGTAGTTTCCTTTCTTATATAATGACTAACTCGTTGGTTTTCTTCATTATTTCGTCTATAAGTCTTTTCAGATAGGCAATACTGTGCTATGTGGCCTATTTCGCCGCAGTTATAGCACGTGATATCTTTTCTTGGTTCTTTTGGGGGTCCTCTTCGGAAGGGTTCTTCTTGGGTGCTCTTTCGGTCATTATTGGCTCTAAGATTATGACGACGTCTTTCATGGTTGTAGGGTTCATTTATGCGGTTAGAGTTTACTGCGGCAAAATTTAAGGCTATTTGCTCGATCTTCTGTGAGAGATTACCCAACTCCTCTTCTAACTTCTTTTGTTGGGTTTTCTCAGGGGTTTGCCGACTATAATATTCCTCTGCCTCTACTTTTCTAGTGCTAACTATTGCTTCCTCTAAATTTTTAGGTTCCGATACTGCCACAAAGGTCGCGGTTTTCCCTCTCAATCCACTCAAGAACATCCTTATTACGTATTCGTCGAGCAAGTTACCTTTGGGATCTACTCTTCCTAACAATCGCTTGAACTTTGCAGCATACGTGTCTACTCTTTCCTCCCATTTTTGCTGGAGACTATTTAATTCAATTTGCCACTTATGCTATTTTTCCGGAATGGCAAAGAATTCTATGAAGGAGTGGTAGAAGCTTTGCGGCTTGTTATCTTCATCCTTCCATTCTTCTAATTCTTCTTTCTTCCTCTTATGCCAATCTGCAGCTAAGTCCTTGAGGTAACCAGACGCTATCTTTAACATACGCTTCTCGGTTTAGTTATTGGCAATGGAGGCACTTTCGAACAATTCTAGCCACTCGATTGGATCCTCATCTTTGTGGCCGTGGAATGGATCAATCTTCACATAGGTTAGTTTCTTTCTCTCTTCCGGGTCCTTCTTTGTGTTGGCGATGGTGGTTGCCACTCTGGCGAAAGAATCGGTTAAGCCTTCAAGAAGGTCCTTTAATTGGTCTTTATTCATTTCGGGTGCCGAAGTCTTGTTATTCCAAGGAAGTATAGCGTCCACATTGGTTATATTGATTCTTCCTTTCGTTTTCTAATTTTCTTATTTTCTATTAAGGTTTACAACAATCTCTATTTATATGGCTAGTTCTTTCTACTAATCTAATACTGGATGCTTTTTCTTCTAGACAGCTGAGTTCTTATATCCTTCTTATTCCTTATTTTATACTAATTCGTCTTATCTTCATCTCTTTCGTATCAGGGAGGGGTAGCGACGCTTCGTATTATTTGAATCTCACAGTCACCACCAAATGAAGTCAGTCGAAACGGCGAGTCAGTCGCTCTACAATCCAAAACTTCGTGTAACCTATAGTTGGCTTAGTCAGAAAGAGGCGTTTAGATTTGGTCGGTGGTTTGGGCCATAGGTAAGTATTCTTCTTTTACTTCTACTGTGGTTTTCCTTCTCTTGAACTGTCTACTAACTCTAATCCTCAATTACCTCACTATGTCAGGTAATTGGACTACACGTACAACCACAACTATCACACTTCTTCAGATAGTTGGACTCAAGTGACCACAGCTGATCCTGGTACTTTAGGATACAACAGCCGGATGGGAGTTTGACAATATTACGGGTTAGAACAGATAAATTGCAAGAAGCGGGTTTTTATGGTCTGGGGACTTAGCGATTAGTAATGTATTAAGGGAGACGTTTATGTATTTATTATGATGTAAGGGGCCAGTTATTATTTTAATAAAGCAAAGTACGGGTTCTCCCCCTT